CTTAAAAATAAAGATTCAAATGTTATTCTCATCAATTATTTGTATTCCTAGAGATTATAATTGTAGAAAATTTACCGAACATGAAATCCCCTGAAACCTCAGAAGAGATGCTTGATGGTGAAGTAAATATAAAACAATATTTTTGAGACATAAGAAGTTACAACATGAATAATGTCAAAGTAGTAAGTGCTACATGAATTTATATATGTGTAGGGTCAAAGCTTAATCCCCGTTGATGTCTTAAGAGAGAGGTCCAAAATCCTTTTCTTAGGACTAAGTGACTTTTGGGAAGATAAAAAAGTGTTACATGAATTTTGTGCAATAGGAGTACCCCTATATTGTTAATGATTTATAGTGCTTAGTGTTGGAATCTTAAAGGATAAATATCCATAAGTTGAACATAGTTGAAATCAGTATAGTAAAATGGATATATATTTCTGCTAGGACGGTAAGATAAGAAATAAGAATCTACACCAACAAGTGGAAACTACTCCGGTTTTGACAAATTAAGGGAAGGACAAGTTAGATAGTTGGGTATGTCTTGCATAGACCTAAAGAGGCTCTCTTTCACAAGAGTACATTGATCTCAATAGAAGAGGTCAGAAAAGAGACTGGTACACCAATGCCTTGTTATATTGCTAAAGGTCTAGTCGCTTTGAATCTTCCACTAGATGAACTGGAGAGAGTCGTGAAAAATGATTCATATAAAAAAAAAATTTTAAAATAGCATAATTAGGCTTAGTATAGCTTTTTTTTTGTTGTCATTAACAAGAACAAGTAAACTCTTCAACCAGTTCACATTTCGCTGCTTCTAATATGAGCCCCACATTAGCAATTTATGGTGTGATATAAAAAGAGCATTACGGGTACTCATTTTCCAGCTTTTAAAGCAACAAATAAAGGACAGAGAAATGCAAATTCTAAAATGTACCTGATAACTTCAAAATGTCTCACCTGTTCTAATGGGGGAAGTAGCATCTCCATCACTAGTGCTTTGCCGAAATTTCGAAGTGGAGTTCAATTTTAAGGAGTAGTAAT